ATAATAATAATAATTTATTGTCATTGTAAGTATATACACAGTATACCCATACGAAAAATACACCAAAACAACAACAACAACAAACAAACAAACCCTGCAAGACCCATCACAGCATAGAAACATAATCCCACCGCCCAGCCCAAAACCATGCTGCAAAACCCATCCAGAACAGTCTTTAAAAAGCAGAAAGCAGCACCTTACCTTACCAGGCCGTTCGAAGCCTCCTCAAGTATATACACAGTATACCCATACGAAAAATACACCAAAACAACAACAACAACAAACAAACAAACCCTGCAAGACCCATCACAGCATAGAAACATAATCCCACCGCCCAGCCCAAAACCATGCTGCAAAACCCATCCAGAACAGTCTTTAAAAAGCAGAAAGCAGCACCTTACCTTACCAGGCCGTTCGAAGCCTCCTCTGATCACACAAAAAGCTGTTTCGTCCACAATTTATAACACTGTAAACTCCCATTGCCAGTTGTCTCAAGTCTGCAACAATACCCCTCCTCTTAGTGCAAGACAGTAGGTAACTTTTTTTTTGCTGAAGGACCCTAGTTGTAGCAGTGTATTGCAGTGTTGTGCTACCTTTGATCTCTAAAATCAAACTCCATGGCCACTGGGAATCTCATTCCAGAAGTGCTAGTTTTTTGTATTTAAAGACTTCCTTCTACCATCTCACAAGTGCCATGGCTTCCACATGATGAAATGAATTACATGGGGCCCATGGGAGCTGCAGGATAGATGTAGGAGTGTGTTTAATTTCCAAAAATTATATACTGGAGACATCATCATCTTTCCATAGGCGCAGAACAATTTCATGATTTCAGCTGATAGAAACGTATCGACTAGAACATCAGAAGTGGTACTTCTAATCAGGGGTGAGCAACCTCTGAGGGTTAGGGAACTTGATGGGCTACAATCCTGAATAAAAATGTGCTTCTCCCTGGTAAGTTATTTCCTCGAAAATCTCAATATGGCTCGGTTTGCCATTTAAATATAGTTTTGCCCCCAGTTCTTTTTAAGGCAGGAAATGTTATTTATTTATTTATTTGCCACTCTCCTCCTAATAATCCATTAAAACTAAACAATAATCACAATTAAAAACTGTATAAGAAACTATACTAAAAACAGGCATCTAACAATCTTAAAACCATAATTGAAAAACCTTTCAAATATATTCACAAATCTCTAAATTCAAAATATACGACGCTCCTAAAAGCCCCACTTAAAAGCCTGCTTGAAAAGGAAGGTCTTTGCCTGATTGTGGAAGGACAAGAGGGAGAGGGGACAACCTGGCTTCTCAAGAGAGTGCATTCCACAGTTTAGGAGCAGCCACCGGGTAACCATGATCAGAAACATAAATCTGGGAACGACTGTCAGATAGTATATAAACATTTTCTAGATTATTTCCCTGCCCCCCCCCCCATTAATTTATTAGCTTCTGAAGCTAGGGAGAACAAATGAAATTCTGAATTCTGGATCCTCCACAATATGTTTAGTCGTCAATTTATAACCACACCTGTTTTTCTGTACAGGAACAAACACAAAGAGACCGAACACCAGAGGCAGAATTTTCCTGTTAGTGCATATCTCCTTGGATGCAGTGCTATTCACTTGAAGACAGGTCAAGGATCAAATTCAGCAAGGAGTCATTACGTGTGAAGAATCTCCTTTCAGTCATAGCACGGCATCTCGGGCAGCAGATTCCAAATCACTTGTTCAATATTGATGATTTTGCCTTACGAATTTACTCATGGGAGGATGAAGTGCAGCATTTATTGTGTCTTTGTTTTGCAGGTGAAAGCCTAAAAACTGCAGCGAAAAAATTCACAGATGATCCTTGTTATTTGCCCAAAAGGGAGGCAGTTGTCCAAGTAGCACGTGCTCTCTTGGCTGCTGTTACAAGACTTCTTATTCTGGCAGATATGATTGATGTCTCGTACCTGTTGCAACATCTAACCACAGTGAGTAGTTGTGAAGGTTGACAAATGAAGCATACATCTCATTTTCTCAGTTGTCAAGCTTCCTTCCGTACTGGATTTGGGGTTATGTCTGAGTAAATTCTTAATTAAAACAGTCATGCTATTTTTAGCATGGAACTTGCAGCTACTGATCAAGAGAGAAAGAGAAATGGATTTGGAATCAACTCAGCTCAGACTGCATTTCATTTCATATCAAAGGCAGTGGGAATACTACTTTTATTTTAATAAACATGGGGAACAATCTACTAGACTGTTTTTCTGTGCATGCTTCCAGAGGATGAATTTGGTGGGTTTTGCCCTTTGAAACTAGCATCTTTTAATCCACAAGACATTTCAACTTTAGACTTCAGTCTGTATTGATATTAAATCCTGTTTAAAATTTTTATCCAAGCCTAGTAATATTTTTCTTATTTCAGTCCTTCTGATATCAATTGCAGAGAGGTTTAGCTGCTTTTACTAACATAAGCATGCTGTTGTTTGAGAGTATAATTTCTGGTTATTATAGTGCACTGATTTCTATTATTTTTATTGTTGTAGATTGCATTGTGGAATTTGTTTAGGGAAAGGCTGAATGGGATTCCGAGCAAAAATGAATAAAATTACTCTTTGGAAATGCGAGTTAATACCCAGAGCTGCAATCTAAAAAAGTTAAACATGGTTAAGAATTAATGAAATCAAATGGGGCTTCAGCTGGTAATTGCTAACCTGTTTCAATGGTTTCTTTGTGGCGTAAATATGACTCAGGCAGAGTTAGGCTGTGGCCTCTGTCTGTTTATGAATTCAGCACATGGTGTCTCGAGGGAGCAACAAGCATATATATTGTTTTCCTTGTTTTGTATTTCATAAAAGTAATATTCTTGTTTCCTCCTTCTTCTACAACACATGTGTCAAACTCAAGGCCCGCCGGGCCATTTGATATACAATACACAGGCACTTACTTGGTCACCCATAATGCTCCACAAAAATGCTGGGAATCTGCCCAGCGGGACTTCTAATCCCAGCATTCCAAGCGGTGAAGAGTCAGAAAGTGCAGCTGCTTGGATATACAGCACTTTGGGAAATGTAGTCCTCGCTATTGCCCACTCCTGTTCTTACATTTATATAGACTTACAGATACAGTACAACCAGCCCTTTGAGGGCAACTGTAATGCCGATGCGGCCCAAGATGAAATTGAATTTGACACCTCTGCTCTACAACAATCCTATTGCTACAGTTCCCGTTTTGGAGACTAGGAAATTGTAAAGCAGAAACTTTGGGGCAAAACTGGTATTTGTTGTTGTTTAGTCGTTAAGTCGTGTCCGACTCTTCATGGCCCCATGGACCAGAGCATGCCAGGCCCTCCTGTCTTCCATTGTCTCCCGCAGTTGGGTCAGATTCATGTTGGTCGCTTCGATGACACTGTCCAACCATCTCATCCTTTGACACCCCCTTCTCCAACCCAGCTAATCCAGAAGGAGTTCTAGGAGCTTAGTGTGTGGATCTGATCATGGTGTACTTTCTATCTGTTTCCTGTTCTAACAAAGAAAAGCCAACAGGGTGCTGTCATTCCTCATGGGATGCCCAAACATGATTATAGTGTGCATGTGCTTCAGGGAGGTTTCTTCTTTATCCTCCAGTACTTTGATATGTGCGGTTCATCAAAGTATTGGAGGATACAGAAGAACCTCCCTGAAGAACATGCAGACTGTAAACATATTTGGGCATCCCATGAGGAATGACAGCACTCTGTTGGCTTTTCTTTGTTAGAACAGGAAACAGATAGAAAGATGTCTGGGTAAGCAGCTTATAAGCGGTAACACAATTCTCTTAAGAACCAGAGCTTTTGTATTGTCACTCTACTGACAAAAAATCTTGGCCACCAGAGGGTGCAAAGGAGCAAGCTTGTTTTGTAGCCACTACCTCTTCAACCAAACCAAACCAAGATCATAAAAGAAATATATTTGGAGGTCCACTAAGGTGCAAATATAGGCATGCATGTCCACAGAACCCTGGAAGTTGCACAACCTTCCTGTATAATAGCTCAGCAATTTGGATGGTGAAAGCTCACAGACCCGCTGAAACAGAAAAATTGTTCCTGTAAATTATAAGACTATAACTTGATAGGATATGTCTGTGTCAAAGGTGTTGGAATGATAGCAACCTGTATATTATGTCTTTAAGAGGTTTGGATGGGAGGAAGTTTGGGTTCTCATGTCACTCACACAATAGCAGCCAATTGTTCCCTCTCTACTTCCGATTCATTTTCAGTCTTTTTTTTTTTTTAAACTCAGGGCAGGGCTCTGCGTCAGTTAGCAAGTGTTCTGCTAGTATGTTAGAGTTTGACAGTTATGGAGTCAGCAATTAGATTCTGAATGAAATGCTTATGTAACCAGTCAGTTAATCAAATAATGAAGTTAACCAGTTAGACCTAAAACTGAAATTGTTTGAGGTTGCTAGAAATAGGGAAAAATAGGCATGTTGACAGTAAAGAAAGAGCAAAAAAAGTATTCAGTGAATGGTGATTCTCAGTTTGCTACTGATGTACAAGGGTTTAAAAAACATAGTGGATCACCTCAGATTCAAACTTTGTAAAACTGAATTTTAACCAGAATTGGAGCTTCAGTTCATACTATATGTACGAAGATTTGTGAGTAAAATAGAAACATTTTTCATTCTTTTTCAACATCAGAGTCTCTGACTGAATCTATTGAGACTGTCGTGCCAGTTGAGGTAAAACGAACCAAACAATAATGGGTGGTGTATTTGAGGGTAACGTTAATAATTTGTTCTGCAGGTCCCTGTCTAGATTTTTTCTCCACTGTATAACTGGAGGATTTAAGCCAACAATTTTCACACTCTGGCAATAAAAGGAGGTTCATTTGGTCAGCTGCAGCTTTTGTCATAGGAAAATGACTGCTAGATTTCTCTGTCTTCCTATAAGAAATCTGCTAGCTGAATCTCTGGAGGTCAAACAACACGAGTATGGTAGTTCTAGAACTGTGTCTGAAAGAGACAGAGAGGTTTCCTTTGCTCTTAGTGAAAATCAAATGCTGTTTTTCTGCGAGTCACTTAGAAATCAGCTGGGAACTATTTCTGTTGGAGTTAATATGGTGTGAACCCCACTCTTATGCTCTGCTTGATGTACGTGTAAATAAACCTTATTCTACTGAAGTTCTAAAAGTCTCCAGTGACCTTCTTCTAAGTAAATCAACCTTGGATTAAAATGCCTGCGGTTCTCCCATTATCAGTCCAGGCTTTTCTCTTGTTCCACCTCATGGTGCTAGGAGCAAATGTTAAATGTATAAGAAATAAAAGAGTACTTTGAAAATCAAGAAGAAGTGAAAATAAGCTTGCTTTCATCCCCTTAAATAATTCTCAGATAATGCATTTTTGAATGCCTTTATTCCCCTCCTCTGGTTTTTCCTAGTTTAGACATTATGCCAGTGATACAGTATGTGTATAAATTTCTGCTACCATGCAAGCTAGTCTTGCTGAGATCCCTTCATAAAAAGGCAGCCTTAAAGACCTCTAAGAAAGAATTTACTGCAATACAAAGCTAAGGAGAGCGCAAGCAGGTAGCTCTGGCCTCACACATATGTGGAAGGCAAAAAATCCTAGGTTTGAATCTGAATCATAAGATGAAAGGTAAAACTAGACATTAAAGGGATATATTCTATAATTAATCTATTTCCCACAGTGGGGTTTTTCAAACACCTGCCTCATCACCCATATTTACCATCCATTGTCCAATCATAAATGCAAAACACACCAAATGCAAGATTTGTAAGTGAGGGGAATCATATGCTATGGGAAATAGTTGCCTTCCACTAATTGAGGGGGTGTCTATTGGAAAAATTTACTAAACATTATTTAGTTTGGCTGCACATCTGTGGCTAAAAAGCTAGAAGCTTAATCCGAGCTATCCATGCAATGCCAAATGTGAAGGGATTTTTGTTTGAAAAATTATTCATATGTCGCCTTTCTCTGCATAGAGACCCCAAGGCGCACACAACAGGTAAGTGCAAAAGGAAGAACATAGAAATGTAGTATACTGCTGCAAAAGGTCATACATTAATAAGTCCCATTCCAAACACACTTCAACTCCTTGTGTTGCTACAATTATTCTTTTAGACATTTAAACTTAGAATAGAATTATGAAAGGTCTTTTTAAAAGATAGAAAATATCTGATTAAAACAAAGACAACAAGCCAATCTTCCCAGCCTTCCAGAATGTCAGAACAAAAACTATAACAGAAATTGGCCAATAGTGACATATAAAAGGGAGAAGAAAGCAACAAAAAGGGGATCATTTAGTACAAAGGCATAATGCTTCATGTGAAAATGTTTTAAAATTAGACCCAAAATTGAGGTTGCTAGAAATAGAGAAAAATAGGCATAGAAAGAGCAAAGAAAGAGCAAAAAAAGTATTCAGTGAATGGTGATTCTCAGTTTGCTACTGATGTACAAGGGTTTAAAAAACATAGTGGATCACCTCAGATTCAAACTTTGTAAAACTGAATTTTAACCAGAATTGGAGCTTCAGTGATAGAAAATTAGGGATGGGCATCTATGGCTAGAAATACCAAATTTTGGTACAGGATGTATGATAATTTGTCATAGGATGTACACTGTGATTATTTTGGAAATCTGGATACTTTCAGTCGATTTTAAGTACAAAATTGCATTATATGGTGAAAAATATTTTTCACTGTATTGCTTACTAAGTAAATTGTATTTTTAAAACACAAATTACTTGGCTTTTGCATTGCAGGAACGAAAAATGTCCTTTTCAGTTCGTTTCCCACTAGTGAAAGTTCCCTTTCAAAATGACTACTGCTTTCAGCTTGTTTTTTGAAGGAAAAATTGAATACAAACATTGGCATGAAGTGAGAAGCAATTTTGGAAAGGTTTCTGAAAATGCTCAGGGTTATATTCCAATATATTTTTAAACATTTCTGTCCAAATGAAAGCTCAGGATTAGTTCAGCCAAGTCAATGAAATC